CCCGCCCTGCCGGCCCCGCCCTCGGCCTATGCCGCTTTAGTTGCCCGCAGGCCCCACCCACTCAACTGAGGCCCCGCCTTGCTACAATAAAACCCCTCCCACTCCTTCCACCAACACCCCGCCCCCTGCAGGCTCTCTCCGAGTGCACCAAGTTGTTTTGCTCTCCTTCCCCGGAAGACCCGGCTGAAAATCCGGAAAAAGAATCGGGAAACGCCAGGGGGCATATTGCGCTTGCGCACAGAGGGGCCGGAAGTCGAGGCGGGAGGCTTCCGTTTCTGGTTTTGCTCAAGTGTTTGGGTTTCTTCGCGGCCGCTGAAGATGAACCGACTCTTCGGGAAAGCGAAACCCAAGGCTCCGCCGCCCAGCCTGACTGACTGCATTGGCACGGTGGGCATTTGATCATGCATAAGTAGGCTCAGGACCTCTGACACACCCGACCCCGCCCACCCCCGGTGCCGGGCCCCTATTCTTCCACTTCGTTTCGGGTCCTGGGCCCCTTATACGTCGGCGCTCTCTGTCCCACCTTCTCCCCTTCATCCCTGTTACCCAAGTCATTCCTAACGCCACAAACCAGGGACCCCGTAACCCCATCACTGCCTTGCCCTACCAGCACCCAACCCGTTTTGATGCCCATTGCCCGTCCACTCTCGCCTTGATCGTCTCACTTCACCCAGCCCTAGGCCCATACACCCTTCCCACCTCGTCCTGCCTGATCCCTTACCCTTCTTGCATCTGTCACCCCCAGCCCACATCAGGACTCAGCTTGATATCCTAGGTCAACATTATCTGTACCTCAGTCTTGGATCTCAGTAACACAAAACTCAGAACCCTGGCCCTTCAGATTAAGCCACCATCCCCGATTTAGGAAATGGCACTAGATCTACAATCAGCTGGTTTCACTGGACACTGGCCCATTTCACGCGCCTCTTGGATGAGCTCTTAGCCTGGCTAATCTCTGATTCTAGGGAAATTCCAACTCAACTCAGTGATTCTCAAATTATTTTCTGCCCCAACCCACTTGAGGGCTACCTGGTATATCAGAATTGGGGCAGTGTGGCGGGGGAGTCAGAGTATAATTTATAAAAGCCCAGAGTTTCTGGTTGGGAATGCCCTTCTTTGTGAACCACTGTTTTTCACCCTTCCCCTTAAGCTCCTCTTTTCTTCCTCTATTCCTTCCTCTCTACCTGCCCCTTCTGGATTAAGTGTATTGCAGTAACTACCAGTGCATTTGATATTTTCCCCCAAGGTGGACAGCAGGGCAGAATCCATTGACAAGAAGATTTCTCGATTGGATGCTGAGCTAGTGAAGTATAAGGATCAGATCAAGAAGATGAGAGAGGGTCCTGCAAAGGTAAGGTAGGCAGCAACCGCTGCATAAGGTGCTGGCACAGCCTAGTTTTAGCACTTATAGAAATAGGGCCTAGTTTGGCTGGGCACGGTGACTCATGCCTGTAATCCAGCACTTTGGGAGGCTGAGGCGGGTGGATCACGAGGTCAGGCATCTGAGACCAGCCTGGCCAACATAGCGAAACCCCATCTCTACTGAAAATACAAAAACTTAGCTGGGCATGGTGGCGGGCGCCTGTAATCCCAGCTACTCAGGAGGCTGAGGCAGAAGAATCACTTGAACCTGGGAGGCGGAGGTTGCAGTGAGCAGAGACCACACCGTTGTACTCTAGCCCAGGTGACAGTGTGAGACTGCGTCTCAAAAAAAAAAAAAAAAAAAAAACAGGACCTAGTGCAGGGGCTGTGAGCGTCTCTACAGAAGAGATGCTTACAGTCTCATAAGGAGAAAACATGTGAGGGTGTATCCTTTAGGGAGGAGAGTTTGCAACCAAATATGGAAGGAAGGCTGGGGATTGATCTGGTGAAAAGAAATGCTGGTCACACGTCTAAAAGCATGTGCATGAGAATTAGCATATTATACTGAGAAGGTGGTCATCTGGAGAGGAAGACTAGGCTGTGCTCAAGATCAATGACTTGCCAAGCTGGTCAGGTTAGGTTGGTATACTAGACTGCTTAAGGCGTGGCCTGCTGGGAAAAAGTGAACTAGGCGTCTGGGACCAGTGTTCTAATACTAACACTGTCCCTGCCATCTAGTTGTGACCTTGATAAAGTCACTTATTTTCCACTCCTGTTAGGTAGAAACATAAAATACTGCGTTTAAGCACATGGAGTGTGGATATAGAAGTACCTTGTTTTTTCCAGATCCATAACTTATTAACCATGTGAGCCTGGGTATCACTGAACCTGTATTTCCTCATCTATAAAACAGAGATAATACCTACCATACAGTATGAGGATTAAATGAGGTAATTGATGTGTACCACTATGTCTAGGATAAAGTAGTACTCAGTAAATGTGAGTTATGATCATCTGTGAAGTAATAATACCTGTTTTTCCTTCCTTATTGGAGAAGACAAATAAAATGATCTACAGCATTCTATAGAAAAGGAAGGCTTTTCCCAGCCATCTTAGTGGATGATGGGGAATGAAGAGCAACCAGAGGCAGGAAAGCCCATCTAGATTTGAGACAATGAAAGCCCAAACCATGGTGGTAGGAAACCAAAGAATCAGTTTGAAAGTGAGTTCTGAAATCAGCTAACAGGATGATTGTTCATGAACAAACTACAGAAAGAGGAAAGATAAGGTTGATATAAAGATTTTCAACCTAGAGAGGTGAGAGATTGGTGGGCCATTGTTACCTATTTCCAAGGTGAGATAAGGTTTAGGAGTTTGGAATTATTGAGGTTAAGTTGATAGGCTATACAAGTGAAGAATCTCTCTAAGGCAACTGGATATACAGAATCAGCACTTTTGGGGCTAGAGGCGGAGATAATATGCATTAGGAAAAGAGAAAGTAGTTCAGGACTCTGGGATGTGGGATGCAAAGACAGATAGGAGCTAAGGCTTAAAGACTGGACCTTAGAGATACCTGTTTTGGGGAGGGGAAGAACAGAATCCAGGAGCCATTATGCCTACTACTTTGAAGAAGAGAGGAAGTAGGCATGTGAGTTTGAGGCTATGGGAAATTTCTTTTACCGTATGTGTGTTTTCCACCTTATTTTTATTAAATCTGTTTTTCTCTCCAGAATATGGTCAAGCAGAAAGCCTTGCGAGTTTTAAAGCAAAAGCGGATGTAAGTTACACACACAATTTCTTTCCCTGTAGCAGGTTTAACTAAAAGAAAAATGGTCTTCCATTCCCTCAGGTTTTCATACTATTTTCTAAGCACTCTTGATTTAATTACAAATTTTCATTGACAAGTAATTAAATACAGTTAGCTGGGTTCTTCCCCGCTACATGTTCAGCAATATCTGTTGTAACAACTTCCATCTAAATAGAACTTTTTGCCATGATAGAGATGCTTTATATCTGTGTGCTCAATACAGTAGCTATTAGCAACATGTGGTTATTGAGCACTTGAAATGTGGCTGGTGTGACTAAGGAACTGAAGTTTAAATTTTATTCAATTTAAATAATTTAAGTAGCCTTAAATGGTTAATGACTACTGTTTTGGACCAGATCTGTAGGGTTTGGTTTTCCTATTATTTATTTTAGAGTGTACCTTTTTTGTTTTTGTTTGTAAAGTTAGGAATCCTAAATGTTTGTTCCCTCCCACCATAATAAATTTAAAGATCCTTAATTTGTTTTAGGCGACTATGTCCCAGTTTTGAGCAGAAGCTAACTAGTATCTTTGGTGCCTACCTCTGTGGACTGTTCAGCTGATGAGATCCTCTGCAGGGTTATAGAGGTCAGGTGTAATTAGCTATTGAGGAACTAGAAAGATTGTCAGTATCTCTCTTCCTATATTAAAACGACTTTTTATAAGATACCAGATGCCATCTTCCTCCTTTTAGATTAGATCAAATTGGAAAAAGAAATTGTAATGCCTAGACTGGTGAGAGTGTGGTGAAATGATTTACCTTCTTAATTGGTAGCATTACTAGTTTTAAGTAACGTTTTTTTGTGATAAAAAGAATACAGGTTCATTGTAGAAATTTGGAAAATACATAAATATGAACAGCAGAAAATAAAATTTACCTAGATTCTTACTGCTAGAAATAACCACCTTTAAAATGCTAATTTCTTCCAGTTTCTTTCCTCTGCTTCTGCATATGTGGTATGTGTGCATATAACTTTTTAGAAGAAATGAAATTGTAGTGTGTATATGTAGCTTTTCCTTTTCCACTTAATATCATGAGCATTTCCCTGTTCTTTTAAATATTCTTTGGAAACTTTACATTTTTTAATGAGATTATAATATTCTACCATTTGCTTGCACCATGAATGGACCATTCTTTTTTTTTTTTTTTTTTGGATCATTCTTTTTCTAGTTGGGTAGATTGTTTCCAATATTGTATAAAGAATATAGTGACATAAGTCTTTGAGGTAATATTATAATTTGATATAAAACTTTATTTTACAAACATTTTGAACACCAGACATTATATTAGGTCAGATGGATTACCTAATTATGGGTACAAAATTAATAAAACACACCTGGGGCTGGGCACAGTAGCTCACACCTATAATCCCAGCATTTTGGGAGGCCAAGACAGCAGATCACTTGAGGTCAGGAGTTGGAGATCAGCCTGGCCAACATGGTGAAATCCTGTC